TATTGTGGTGTTCTGTGACTGCAATCGTAACAAAAACAGTCTCAAAACGTCAGAGATCCTGACTAATTTTTTGACGTTTTGTGATTTTATTTTTAGCAGGGACACTACAAGAAAGTTAATAAATAACAACAATAAATTGTTTAAACAATCGTTTGAATACTAAATTCATATAAAATCTTCATGTTTATTATGTTGAGCTTGTTAAGTTGCAAAATTAGAAAAAAATTGCAACTTTCTTGGAACATTATAAAGAAAGTTAATAAATAGCAACAATTATTTGTTTAAACAATTGGTTAAATAGTAAATTCATATAAAATCTTTGTGTTTGTTACAAACTATCGTAACGAAATTATAAATAAAAGATAAATAAAATGATAATAAATAATTTTCAAGAATAATTGAAAATTATTTAAGAATAAAATCTCCAAGTCGATGCCACAATGTATATAGGCATGTAATTTGAATCCCCGATAATCGCGCGCGTTGAGTGATACTCCACACACACAGTCTTATATTCTCGTTGCTTCTAAAAATGTATCTATGACTATGATATTATAATATAACTTTGTTAAACTGTTATATTATAATATATTATTTTATTCTATCTTATGTTATATTATTCTATATTATGATTTATACTATATTATATTATGCTATATTATAAACTATATTAATTATCTAATACCAATATTCAAGCTTGAATATTATAAATATATGCATGAAAAATATAATATAGTGTACTTACCTTATATAAAGATACTAAAATATTATTATAAATAAAACAATTATACTTTACTCATTTTTATTAATAATTTGCAGTAATTAATTAATTAACAATATGCAAATTATTGTTAATTCATGATTTTTTTTATTAATAATGATAAATCGTATTATTATCATTGTTAATTACATTTACTAAAATTAATATTAATAATTAATCATAATTATTATTATAAACAATTGGATATATTACCAATACTATTTTTCTACTTATTAGAATCATCATTATCAAATATTATTTCAAAGAATATGCATTGTATATGCACGTATGCGTGTGCATTATTTTTATCGTGTGTACGTGTGTTCATAGTATGCCAAAGTGATATGCATATATATGTGTATACATTGTTTGGTTGCACATTTCTACGCATATTATAGTAACCAACAATAATGTGATTATTATATTGTAATTATTATATTTACGAAAATGTATTATTTTATAAGAAGGGAGAAGAATCGCATATGTCAATTCTATCTATCTTTCTCTCTCTTTCTCACGCGTTCAGGTGCAATGAGTCTCGCAGCGTGGATGCGGTACACACAGACACGGACTCCCCATAGCCTGCGTAACGCATATGTGTGAGGCGCTTGAGGAGTATCGCGCGATGCAAACACTGCCTTCCTTCCCCTATTCTTTTCCTTATAATACCTTCAAATTAAAAAAAAAGGAAATAAAGATACAATAATTGTTGATAGCTTAAATTGGAACATGTCACATTTTCCAAACACATATAAACTCGCAACAATTAAGATTTTATTTTAAGAGGGTCAATTTTGTAAAAAAAAACAAAATGCATATAAAAAAAAAAGAGAAGAAAATTTTTGAGACATGTATGTCGTGCATATATGTGTACTAAGGTAAATGTACGTGTGTATGCGTAAAATGTATATGCATATATAAAAAGGAAAATAGTTTCATTTTTAATATGAAAACGATAATCTGTGCAGAACTATGACCGCTCTGGAATTCAACAAAGGTTGCGAGTTATACTTTATTAAAAACACACATATACACTTACACATATGGAGATGTGCAGTTCCAATAGTGTCAACAGAGAAAAGAATAACAAGAATCATGGGTTCTGAGAATATCGATGGACGATGATCTAAGTTTTCTTATCGATACCCCTGAAACCCCCAGAATCCTTCTACCCCTGATTCACTAATCCCACTAAGTGCATCTCGCGATGCTCTTTATAAGCAGAAGCTCATAGGGCCTCATTGCCTATTCGTCTTCAGTCAATCACTTAGTACGTGTTACTGATTTTTGCATTATTTCTTTAAAAAGTGAACTTAGAGTTTAAACTGTGGAGAAAGCTCAATAATATACCTGCTGAATCACGATAGATTTTCGTTGAGCCAGGTAAATTAACAGCAGTGCTTAAATTTCTAAAATTAAAATTGCTGAATCACGATAGATTTTCGTTGAGCCAGGTAAATTAACAGCAGTGCTTAAATTTCTAAAATTAAAATTGCTGAATCACGATAGATTTTCGTTGAGCCAATTTTTAATTTTAAGAATAAAGCCCGTCTGCGAGCTGGCTCCAATTTAAATTCTATTTTCTTTGGGCGGACGTAAAATTAAATCGAACCTTGAACCGGCTGAGTCCCAATCGGTTGATCAGTACAGTGAGAAATTATTTGATAAATTATTTATAATTTATTAAATAATTTTTTGTTCTTAAAACCGGACAGTCCGTACGGATTGTACCTGCGCCGCTTGTGTCTGATAGGGTACCGGTACCGCGTTTCGAGACGCGGAAATACGCATAACACCTTTCTTTCGTTTTGCCCGTTGATTGTGTGACGAGATCGCGAGAATTCTCCCTTCTCAACAAGCTCTCTCGACGGTAGTGTGTAAGAGAAATCTAGCCGTAAGTAATAAAAAAACTGTATCGTTCCAAAAACATTATTCTTTACAAAAGAAAGCATATAATGTGTAATTTTTGCAATTTTTACTTTGATTTTTAATAAATTTTTGTAAACTAAAATTCCAATTGTTCTATTCAATCAAATAGACCTTTTTATTTGTGCTGTCAAAAATAGTGTGGATTTTCATCTCAAAGCTAAGAAACATTATTTACGATCTAAAGATTAAATTGGCAGTTTCGTCTTCTATCGGCGATATAATTAATCAAACCCACATTAAAAATAAACATTATTAAGTTGAATGTTCATTTTGACTTTTTAATGGCAACTTGGTTCCTCCGGCGAATAGAAAATTTTAAATAATTGTTCAAAATTATAAAAATTAATAAATTAATTTTCTCGTTCGTAACAGTGTTATTATGTTGTGCTTGTTAAGTTGCAAAATTAGAAAAAAATTGCAATTTTCTAGGAATATTATGAAGAATGTTAATAAATAGCAACAATTATTTGTTTAAACAATTTATAATAATAGTTGTTGCAAATTGAATTATATATTTTATTTTATTTATAACCTTTGAATTAATAACTACGAAGAAAAGGTAACAAATTTATAAAATTCTTCTACTGTCGTATGTATATTTGAAAAAGTTATGAATTATTAATAATAAATTGTTTAAACAAATAAAAAATCAACAAAACATTAATAAAATATATTATTTGGTAACATATAACAATTTTGGAAATAAACTGAATGATTCTAAGTTTTTATTGCAATATACAAAGAAGAAAACATTTGGCCCACCCTGGGTGGGATCTTGTCAACCGTGTATATAAAAAGTATCCAGTCCGGCGAAGGTTAAATACACACTAAATATACATTCACTAAAAATTTCGCGTTGGTCTTGAAGCGATTTTCGAAGATAAAGCGGATTAAAAATTTCGTATTTTTAAAGTTAACATAATTATTATTATTATAATTATAATAATTATTATTATTTAAAGTTAACATAATTCCGCATCCAACGAGCCCTTTATGAAGTATTTTAGATAAGTGGATTGTTAATAAAAACAATTGGTTAACATTGCAATTGTTTATAAAAAATCCTCTAATCCAAAGTAGTTCAAATAGGGCTTGTTGCATACGAAATTACGTCAGCTTTCAGTTCGTAGCTACAGTTTTTGAAAAATCCTAACAATTCTTCGTGGTTAAAGTACTCGCTCCTAGGGCTAAACTATGTGCAAGTTACAGCCCGATCCGATCAACTATTTTTTTTACTTAGTACGCTACAGGAATTTTACCCCATATATTCGATTAAATGCAGGTTTTTTTCATAAAGTGCAATAACCTCCAAAAATTTTTTTCTACCAAATTAATTTTTTGTTTTGAATTTATTTCAGTATTTCATAATCTGTCACACTATATTTCTTGGATTTTCAATAAAATAAAGTAAATGCTAACTCCTTCTGAAAACTATTAGATAGAAGAGAAATTCAAAATATTTTCAAAAATTTACGAGTGTCTGGATTTAGCCTGCAGTCCGAAGTTACCCGCTTTGACGGTACTTATTAAGAATGTTGAAATAAATGAGCAGTTAAATTTCATCTAAATGCTTTTTAAAACTTTCTTTGAAAATACAATAACTAATTTAAGAAATATTTCAATCATTTAATTTTTAAATTATTCAAGAGACATCACAGAAACAATACTTTTAAAAAAACTTAATAATAAAATAAACTCTTAAGTATAAAATTAGTTTGGTCAAGTTTTCGAGTTTTTCTTCTTAAATGGAAAATATTTCCGGAGATCAAAGTAAATGGTTAAAAATTTATTTTTTAATTATAGAGTTAAATATGTGTAGATTTAGATAAATAAATAAAAATAGAGGTAATAATTAAATTTGTTTATACATATATAGGAATATATGTATTAATATTTTACCGAGTGATAAATTCTGTTATACTAAATTTGTTTATCTTTTTCTCCTTTTTTTCAAATTGTGGCCTGTGAAAATTTTTTGTGTTAATGGGAAAATTGTGCCAGCCAGCAGAGTTTCGTTACCTCGATATGGCTTTTCTTATTTTTTTGAAAATTAAACCCCACAGATGGGGTAATGGGAGAATATGCATTTTTTTAGAAAACATTTTTATTGCAAACTTACTTTTTTGTTGTAAATTTCTAATCAATTATAATTTAAGATATATAACAAAAGGAGTAAAAAATGCCGAAAACAATATTTTATTATAGGTAATGATAAATTAGTTTTTATAATGATTGTCTTTAAGGGGCTCCAATTCCTCCACCTTCCCCTATAATGTGATAATTAACATAGTAAATATTACGTATTTTTTAGATTCAAATGTACAGAAGAACAAATTAATAAAGTTTTTATCCAAAAATTCATCAAGTGATAATACGAATGTCATGTTGCCTACGAAATTAAACCCTGATGTCAAGTTAAAAATATGTATAGCAGTAACTTCTGAAAAGAAAAAATCTTCCATGAATGAGGTCAACATTGACATAACTTCTGAAGCCGAGAATTGTTCATCTCTATCAGAATTTTCAAGCCCTCCAAATAGCGGAGCGTCTGAAATTTTAGACTTTGTAGGTAGCAGTTGGGACAAAGACACATTCGATGAGACTTTTAAAGATGTCGATAAAGAGACTTTAAATAATTGTAGTCATGAATGTCAATTACATCAATTGGAAAATTCGATTCAGAAAGAGTTTAATATAGATGATGGTAAGTTCTCTTATATTACATAATCATAAATATCTATATTGTAAAAAACGCTCAGAAGTAATTTTAAGAGTGTCTCCTTGTGTTTCGCATACATAGAAATTACATAAGGTTTTAATATCCAATCAGCACAAAAACCTTTGACAAATTCTACTTAAATTTTCACTTATTCATATTTACAGGGACGCATGAGTAAACATTAAATTTAATTTTTTTAAATTATGAATTAATAGAATTTTATTCTGTAGAATATTATTTCTGCAGAATAATAAGGTCAGTTGGGGTAAATGGGGACAAAACCGATATTTTTCACAAATTACGTAAGTTTCTTCCTTTAAAAGGTAATATTTGCTGGTTTATTTTTTTTAAGTTGTTATTTACAATCCCAGGATTAATTGTATGCAGGAGAAAAAAATTTAGATAAGCTTTAAACGCATGAAACTGACTGTCCCCATTATCCCTAAAATTTAGAAAATTTCATAAAATTCGGGGTAAATGGGGATAGCATAGTTTCTAAGAAAGTTTTAAGAAAAAAGTTTCCTTAAGTATATTACTGTATTAAGGGTTGAAAAAACTTGAAAAAAAGTTGTAGTAGATATATAATAGTTGTACCAATTGAAATTTTTTTATTTTTGTTGTCATTTCGACAAAAATTAATTAGCTGGAAATTCAATTTTATTAAATCTCAATTTATGCGCAACGTTGTTTCGTGCAGTATTAATTTTGCAAATTAATAATTTAAAAAAATGTTAATTATGCAGAAAGAATAAAAAAAAGAATATTAATTTAACAAAATATTCATCTGTTCGAATATTAATTATATAGAAAATGTAAATGGTGGAAAAGCAATTTAACATAACTGCTTTGAAGCTAAATTTAAAATTAACCTAACAAAATTTTTTATAATTTCTGATTAGACATATTTAAAAATCGAGCCAAAATATTTATGTGAAATTGATTTTCGACTATTTGCATTTTCTGTAAAATTACTATTCTTTTTGTATGATTAAGAGTATTTTGAATTAACTAGTCTGCACAATTAACTTTGCGAAACAACGTTTCGCAAAAATTATGATTTAAGTAAAGGCACCACCCACAATTTTGACCTACTATAAATTATTAAACGAGGTTATATTTTCTTTCTTGGATTATTTGTGTCCTAAAAACCTAAGGTGGTAAAAGAAAATTTATTTTAAATTTTAATTTAACGATTAAAAATACTTAAAATTGTGGTAGAAGATACATATTTGATGGGAAAGTGCAATGATGTTTTAACTCATATTTTCCTTTTTTTGAGAAAATTAAAAACTTTTTTAAATCTACGCGGGATTCATATTAAAACTTTTAATAAGTGTAATTCACTGCTTTTATTACAAATTTTTTAAACATTTGGTGCAAATATAAAGTATATATCAGATTTTCTTCTGAATAGTACAAGAACCGATAGTGCACTTATCTCTATAGAATAGAACCACGGTACCAGTAGAACTCTGTTTACCAAAAAATAGTATAAACATTGTATACTCACATATATAGATACATTAATTTTCGGCAGAGTAGAAATAATATTTTGTAGTATAAAAAAATTAATTTTTTTTAATAATATTTTTAGGAAAACTATAACTCAGATCTTCTCTTCTAAAAAGTTAGAGTACCAGTAGTGCACTTATCTTTGTAGAACTATGGTACCAGTAAAACTGTCTTTGTAGAACTATGGTACCAGTAAAACTGTTTACCAAAAAATTGTGCAAAAATTATATACTCACATATATAGATATATTAAATTTTGATAGCGTGAAGAAATATTTAAAACTATTAACCCCTTCACAGTCTAGTGTAAAAATCGTTTGTGGGCTCAAAACAGTCTAAATGAAATTTCTAGAAAATATATCATCGTATTAAAGATTTTTTAAAACGCTAAATCCAAATTTGAGGTGAGATTTAAAAAATTAAAAATGGATACATATGGGCCATGGATATAAAGTTGCATGACTTTTTTCTGTCTATATATGGGCCATGGACTGTCAAGGGGTTCAATATAAATTTTATTTATTAATAATTTAGGAAAACTATAAATCAGATTTTCTCTGCTAAATGTACGAGTACCGATAGTGCACTTATCTCTACAGAACCACGGTACCAATAAAACTCTGTTTAACAAAAAATAATAATAACATTATATATATACACTACCGTCGGGAATTATGCTACCTCTGCTTTTTCAGTGACTATAAAACAGTTTAAATCTTCAGAAATATTAAAACTAAGATTTTTTCTGTTTATTTTCTAGAAGCTAATATAAATCTGAAAGAAATTACAACTTGACCAACAGTATATGTTAATTTTTCAATTAGATATCTAATAAAATCCCAATTTTCTTTGTTTTTACTATTTTTTATATTTCTCTGTAAAAAATTAATATTTTTCAACGTTCTTAGACTCATTAGAATAGTATTATGTTATACACTTGAAATTATTAAAAACAATTCATGTCCACATTCTTTCCTACAGCATGCAAACCGTGAAAATTGGGTCAAAAAAATCAAAAACTTACGATTAATATTTAAATGACAAAAAGTAATCTGTAAAATACGTAAATCTGAAATTTACTTAAGGTGAAGTGACACTTTTGAGGTCTCTTTTGAACCTGTTTTTCATGAATTTTTTTAAAACACAGGAATAAAGTAAACAAAATTTGGTTTCGATGACTTTATTTGTTAACTTTTTAAGTTTACGAGAAATATATTTATACTTTTAAAAAGTTTCAATTTGTTGCCTATAGAGGGCGCCAAAGTTGGTCTCGTTTCTCTATAGGGCAAATTGGTGGGCAAGATTCTGGTCAGACCGTTTAACATAAGACAAAAGTTTAAAGTATTTCTGAGTCTGTGATAGATTTAGCTTTATAGTACGTAGGATATTTTAAAAATATTATTTTTGTGGATTTGTCAGTTTTAAGAAAAAAGTCGATATTTAGAGCGAAATTTTTTCAAAAAATTTATTGACAAAAACTTTGAGTGAAAATCAGTCAAATATTACTGATTCAAATAGCTAGAATTTAGCGACTGATTTGAGACCAGTGACTTTTTCACTGATTCAAATTTAGAGAGTACCCTATCAATTTTTTCTAAAAATTTCAAATTAAAATTCTTTACAAACTTATTCAGTGCTAGAAACGGACGTTAAACCCATTACATTTGTATAAAGTTATTCATTCATTTAAATATTTTCAAAATTTTCAATTACAAATCACCTGAAATTTAATTATTTCTACGAATCTTATAATTATTGTAGATCTTCCAATATTCAATTATTTAAAAAAAAATTCAATATTGACTGAAATTAAAAAAAAATTTCATCAATTAATAAAAATTTCAATTTAAAACAAAACTTGATGTATTTGTCAAAAATTATTTTTTAAACATTTTTTGATAAATTATAAACATTTCGTCTTGTGCAGCTTCATTCAAAGATAAATTAAAAAATAACTTTTAATTAATTTTTGACAAAATATATGATTTATTTCTGTGGTGACAAATACATTGATAAATATTTTAATTTTTTAGTTCGGATAATAATCTTTGAAATCATATTTTTCTAGACTGTTTAATTAGTTGCATTTTTAAAAATTTTCAAAACATCCCGCCAAACAATAGTGCATGGAATACAATCTACAGAACACAATTGAAAACGATTGAATATAATAAGAAAGTCAATCGTCCTCCATTGTAAGAACACGATTAAGAAACACGATTGGGGACAATAGAAATTTCTTTTCTATTGTTTTCAATCGTTTTCAATCGATTTTTGCTAGAAGGGATAGAACTACGGTATTACTAAGAATTGAAAATTAATTACAAAATATTATTTAAAGAAAGACCATTCAATTTCACATCGAATTGCTCATGTGTATTACATAAAACACTTGGAGCGGCGTGACGGCGCGCGTGTAATCAATTGTTTCTATCTCAAAAACTATAAAAGATCCCACTCTGAAAATTACATATTTTGTAGGAAATTAGTCAAGCTTTCTATTGAGACAATTAAAAAAAAAAATTTTAAATACTTTTTTGAGATATACGTAAATTAACTATAAATCAGGTCTTCTGTTCTAAAAATTTCAAGTGCCGATAGTGCACTTATAGCTGTAAAAACACGCTACCAGTAAAACGCTTATTCTCGAAGTATCGTCATCGCTGTTTTGGGGTACAAAAAAATCTCAATTTTTTTTGTTCAAAGCTAAACCAAAATTCTAATCTTTATAGAAAAATATTTCATACTATACAGGGTGTCCAATTTTAATCTATCAGGCGAAATAACTTTTAATCAGTTGATTTTACAAAAAAATGTTTCAGACAAAAGTTATTGTGTTCAGAGGGGGACATCCAGTGACCAAAATGAATTTGACCAGAATTTGACCAAAATGACCTAAATTAGGTCATTTCAGGGTCAAGTCATTTTTTTTAAATGGAACCACCTACTTTTCAGGCCGGAAATCAATAGAGCAGAAAGTTCCACGTCGAAATCGTTGATGCACTTTTTTCCGATAGGTCGACCTATTTAGGACAAATAGGTCATTTATTTTTTTTTGTATTAGGGGGAATAACTTTAAACTAATTAATTTTACGAAAACATGTTTCAGTCAAAAGTTGTTGTGCTTGAAGGGGAGTATTCAGTGATGACCTTCAATTTGTCCTAAATGACCTTCATTAGGTCATTTCAATATCAACTCATTTTTTTAATGCAACCATCTACTTTTCATGCTACAAATCGGAAGAGCAGGAAATTCCCCGTTGAAATCGTCCAAGTACATTTTTCGACAGGTCGACCTATTCAGGTCAAATAGGTCATAATCAATTTGACCTACAATGCCTTGGTTAGGTCTAGTCTAGGTTAAATAATTTTTCATGAAGAAAGATCAAGTTTTTATGCAAGGAATCGTCAGGGCAAGAATTTTGGTCAAATTCAATTTTACCACTGGATGTCCCCCTCTGAACACAATAACT